GATTATTCTGAATTTTTCTCTAATGATAGTCTTATTCTCTAAAGCCTTTGATTCCCTGGAGCATGAATTTTTGTTGCAGACTCTTCGCAAGGTGGGATTTGGTGACTTCTTTTGTAGATCTATTAAAATGCTCTATACTAATTGCAATAGCTCTATAAAACTCAGCAGTGGTACCTCTCCTAGATTTACTCTGAATCGGGGAGTCAGACAGGGATGCCCAATCTCCCCATATCTGTTTCTGATAGCTACCGAACTTCTAAATTTGCATATCAGAGAAAGCCCTTTAAAAGGAATAACTGTTGATGACACTGAAGTGGTAATGAGTCAGTTAGCTGATGACACCGTTTTGTTTTTAAAGGATACCTCGCAGGTTGCGGTAGCATTAGAGACTCTTGAGCCCTTCTCTAAAGCCTCAGGTCTTCGCCTTAACATAAACAAATGTGAGTTACTGCCAGTTGGTAATTGTCTAGAGTCCTTAATTTGTAATATTCCTGTGAGAGAGAGTGTTACTTATTTGGGAGTTAAAATAATCAAAGATGATAAAATTAGATGCCCTTCCAATTTTCTTCCGATTATTGAAAAGACACGTAAGGTATTGAACCATTGGTTGTTAAGAGATTTATCACTTAAAGGCAGAGTTCTGCTTACTAAAGCAGAGGGCATTTCTCGATTATCATATGCCGCTCAATCGATCTCTGTTGACAAACACACATGTAAACTAATTGACGGTATATTGACAAAATTCCTGTGGAAAAACAAAATTCATTATATAAAAAAATCAGTAATACTGAATTCATATGACAAAGGCGGGTTGAATTTTATTGATTTTAGTTCTCTAAACAGTAACTTTAAAATAAATTGGATAAGACAATACCTTCAAAACTCTTCATCTATTTGGAATATAATTCCTCGGTTTATCTTTTCTCATGTGGGTGGCCTAGAATTTCTTTTGATGTGTAATTACAAAATTGGAAAACTACCAATCAAACTTTCTAAGTTTCACCAACAAGTACTCGCTAATTGGAGTCTTATTTATAAACACAACTTCTCCCCTCATAGTTTTCTTATTTGGAATAATGCCAACATTTTGAATAGAAATAAGTCTTTATTTTTTCATAATTGGTTTAGTAATGGGTTGTTATTAGTGAATCAGTTATTTAATAATGAAGGGAATTTATTTACGTTTGCAGATTTTATCTCAATGTACAACATACCTATTACATTAAAAGAATTCAAGGTGCTTACTAAGGCAATACCTGCAGGTGTACAGATGCTGTTCAAAAGCAGTGTATATACATCCACACTCTCTGTCTGTCCTCCTAGACCTGAACATACTTATGTCGGCAATATTTGTTTCTCTGGGTTAAAGCCTAACAATTACAAAATTAGATCCTTGTTTTTAAGAGAGATTATTTCTACGCCTTATGTTATTTTCTACTGGAACAGTTTCTTTAGTAATGTAAATTGGACTCAAGTTTGGTCATTACCTCAAAAATTCCTCCTTACAAATAAGGTTAAGGAAATCTCATATAAATTAATTCATAGAGTGTATCCTACAAAGGTATTCCTACAAAGATTTAAAATTAATATTGATTTAAAATGTTCTTTCTGTGAATGCTCCTCTGAAACAATCTCTCATTTGTTTTGGTCTTGCCAATATACCCAGTATTTTTGGAATAATGTGGAGATTTTCATTGCTGATAATATTTTAAAAACATTTAAATTATCGTACAAACATGTGATTTTGGGCTATTATATTAAGGATCACTCTTTAAAGGATGTTGGTTTTATTATAAATTTTATTTTATTTCTATGTAAATTTCACATTCATAAATGCAAGTTTACAAAAGGCAAACCTCTTTTTATGGTGCTTGGGAAAGAGATTAAAATGTATGTTGACATGATGTCAAAATCAAAAAATAGTAAAGCATTAAAGTGATTAATATATGCACCTCCTTTAACATTTTCACATAATATAAAAATATAAAATATAATGAATGGTGCTGATCTGTAAAGTATATTATCTGTATTTAAATTGCATTGGAATACCCTGTGGAATTGTTAAATGTATAATGTATATCTATTTGTAAACTGATGCTTATGTACCCTCTCATCTTTTTATTTTATTTGTATTATTATTATTTTTTTTCTTCTTGTTGAGGCATGTGAATTATTTGTTTGTTATATGAGATATGACACTGTACATGCTACCTGTTGTTGACAATAAAAGCGTAAAAAAAAAAAAAAAAAAAAAAAAAAAATACCTGGTCCCATTCTAAACAGCATAGGCTCTCAATTTCGGTCGGCATCTGTTCGCAACAGTCACACTTGCACCACAAAATTGCTGTTTGCCCGTGGTCTTTCGCCAGCTCCGGTCTGTTCTGGATCATATCTTTCTTCCCTCTCACGGTCCATAAGAGCTAATTCCTCCTCCGTGTACTCGGGTTCAAACAGATATGGCTCTGGGTCTGCTACAAAGAAGTCATAATCATCTACAAAGTCCGCCATTGCAAATGATCTGCAGTTTGCTAATAGCACAGGTAGTAAAAGCGAAGTAAAAGTCACGTTGGTTGTATTGACGGAAATGAGAGGTAGGGGAGAGGAAGCGGGAGCCGGTAAGAGGACTTTTCACGAGTGATGATATTATTGCGCAAAGTCGAACTGCTCAAAAGCACTTGTTATGGTATTCCGCCATACAATATAGTCATCAATTTTAAACGCTTAGAAAAACACAACGTTTTATTTTGTGTCACCAGCCTAGGTCGAGTTACACTACTCGAGTAACTGTGTTTAAATAGGGAAAACAAGGAAGTGTTTGGTCGCTTCTCTTTTTGGCCCATATTTAATGCAATGGGCTTAGCTAAGTGCTAACATAGTTTTGCGGCAATACAGAGCGATATAGTGCACGCACTGAGACGAGAGAGGTATGTATCAACTCGTCTTAGTTAAGGGAATAACATAGCTTAATATGAAAAACCGGTGGAGTTTCCCTTTAAGAGCTCTACTCTACTATTCAGAATAAAAAAGAAAGAACATTAAACACAGGATGGATGACTCTTCCTCAAACACACATTGACCCCAAACCACATTTTTCCAGGCGCTACTGTCAAACTGGGACACCTTTACTGGCAAACTGGGACACTTCAAACATTAAATTGTTATTCAAATGTAGCCAAAGTGAATTAAATACACAATAACAATATAAACAACAACAACAACAACAACAACAACAACAAAAATAATGAAAATCACTTCTTTCTTTTTTTTTAGGAGGGGTGCAGGTACAGCAGATTCACCCTTTTCCTCCCTCCCTCAATCCCTCCCTCGCCTGTCCACAATATTTTGTATTGGGTTTAGTTTATTTCATATAAATTTTAATAAAAAAAAAGAGGAATCTTCATAAACATTTCTTCTTATAGGCTAATTTATTCCACACAGGCTAAATGTAATTTCTTGTACAGTACAGTAGTAGGTTATTCTACATGTCAATACAGCCTGCAGTGCAAGTGAACATCTCCCCGTCTTCAACAAGGCCATTCTCCTCGCCACACGTCTCATGGAAATATAGTCCTCACAAACAATGCATCCAATCCTCTTTTTGGGATCATTTTCATCACCATATCTTGCTTTGCAAATATTGCAAATGTCCAGGCCAACCAAGCTTGTACCCTCCATCTTTCTTGTTTTAGTTTTTTTTTTTTTTATTGCCATTGTTTTTTTTTTTTATAAGCAGTTTACAATCTTTGGTGAAATATCTAGCTAACTAACTAAATTTATTAGGGGCATACAAAAAGGGAACTCAATTCCCCCATTAGAATGACTTAAATGGCTGTCCCAGTTTGCCAGCAATACCCTGTCCCAGTTTAACAATACGCTATTGGCAAATCTGGGACAGTGTCAAAATAACATAAAAAACAAAACAAAAAGATTCATATGAAAGTGATTTTTAAAAATTCTGATTCACCATTTCATCCTATTACAAAATATATAACAATTACAAATGATCCATGAGTTTGTTTAATTTTATAATCTTAACATTATTCATCTTAGAATGCTATGTCATTTTACTTTACCATCACGGTTCACTGCTAGGTTGTTGTTTGATAGGTTGCCACACCCCCGGAAGTGATGTCATAGCCACAGAACCTATTTTTTTATCACATACTTGCTTATGATCATAGATCTATGGCTTATGATGAGCTCAGTGTTGATTTTTAGTTATCGAATCATTTACATGTAAAGATAGAAATTAAGAAGCTTAAGAAGTCTTATTCACATTCACATTTATCTTTATTTTACATGTGTAGCTAAAGGATACTGTTGTTGTCTCTGTACTGGAAGCTTCTGCCACCAAACATCCCTTGTGTGTGCAAACATACCTGGCAATAAAGCTCTTTCTGATTCTGATATAATATTTGTGAGATTTAGTCAGATTAAACTGTTTTGAGGTTAATTTATATAATATTTATTGTAAATCGTGGTATTAATATTCAATAATTATATGAGTTCAATGAAAAGCTAATTTAATGAAATCATTCCATTTTAATTTATCGTGTTGCTATTAATGTAGCCTATCTTCAATTAAAATATAGGCAATTAAATAAAATTAGCCTATTCACATAGGCCTACTTTTATGAGTATATCTTTCAGATTAATCTCTTTTACTGGAAATTCACCTTGACTGTTTTCGTTATTCAATTATTAACTTATAAACGTATGTTTTAGTATTTTGTAGCCTAATAATGATACTTTAAGTATATATAAATATTAAGAAGAATTATAGGTCTATCTATGATAACAGTCATTTATAATAGCCTACTGTAGCCTAAATGTTTACCAGGGGGGCTTCTTGCCCTCTTAAGATGGCCCCCTAATACATATGTTAACATATATCTAAATATGTTACAATGTCGTTATATAATATTCCGTATAATATGGCCTGCCTACTCTTTAAATGCAGTTTTTCAATGAAGTAGCAGCCTACCCTTCTCTTTCGTCTCCAAACATCGCGAGACGTTATCTCAGTGGCGTGACGTCAGAACGTGAGCACAGAAGCGGACAAGATGTCGCTGGCAAGGTAAGTAGCACTAGAGCTGGTTTTAAGGGATTTTGTTTCCACTTTTACATTAAAACTCAAGGTAAAGAGGTCTACGTGGGGTTTTTTTATGTGCCCACGTGTGGTGTTTGTTTATAATTTGCGTTCTTTATTTACTGAATTATGTTATTTGATGCGCTGAGGCCTGCGGTGTTGTACTCTTTGTATCACAGTGAGTGCTAAGAAGCTAATGCTACGACCACAGCAAAAGCAAAAAAAAACATTTCTAATACATAATAAATATCAAATTCGCGATTAATATGTGTTTATATATATATAAACACATATTAATATATATATATATATAAGGCTGTAAATGCATTTGTCACATCTCCATTCTTTAAAGCAATAGGTAACTTACCTCTTGTACTTTGTGCAGTTGAACTTTAATTGGAATAATTGTAGTTTAATTTGACATACAATTTACCCATGTTAAGGAAACATTTGTTTTCACCTTTTAAATCCAATTTCTCTCTGTTTGACATGCAGTGTTCACAGTTTCTACATCATACACCCACATACTATTAACATCACTAGGTGATCCCTGTTAATAAGATGTACACTTACATTACATCCATATACAGCTGTAATTGACATCGTATTAATAGGGATCACCTGATGATTTAATAGTTTCTGTCAACCTCACTTGACACATTTTTTTTCTCTCCATTTTGTAGTTTTCTCCCTGCACCCACCCAACTGTCCCAGGACCAGCTAGAGGCGGAGGAGAGGTCTCGTGTTCAGAGGTCACAATCCACTGCTTTGGTCTCCACTCGCAGAGAACCTCCTCCCTACGGCTTCAGGAAATCATGGGTACCCCGGGGACTAGAGGTACTGCAATACAAGATTATTTATAATTTGATTAGAGATTTTTTTTGGATTAATTTATATATATATATATATATATATATATATATATATATATATATATACATATGTATATATATGTATATATATATATATATATATATATATATATATATATACACAAGGAGACCTGAGAGTAAAGTGTAATTAATAAATGGCTGTTGTTACCATTCAAATGAAATCAATGTTAACTAAATCCATCTTAGCACTGCAGAGGCCTGTTTCAGAAATGAGGTTAAGTGAAAAGTATGTTAACCCCGAAATGAGGGAAACTCTGGGTTTTCAGAATCGGAGATATCTCAAACCCGAGAAAGCGGGATAAGTCAAACCCTTTTAAGTGGTAATTTTCATATCGGTGCATCCCTAGTTTTTTTTTTTTTTTTTTTTTACACATTTTGATTTCCAATACTTTGCACTTTAAAATAGACTTCTAAATGTCTGTTCAGTGGTCCCTATGTTACGCACTTCCTGTCACTCAAGTTAGCAAGACCGTCGTGAGTGTGGGTATTGGCATAGGCCCTATAATTATATAATACATTAGTATTTAAACTTGCTGCTTTGCTATTAGCAGAGAGATACTGCACAGATGCATGTTATTCACTTTAACCTCACTAGATTATGCTATATCTAATGAGCCAAAATAACTAACTGTCTTTGCTTCGGGTGTTAGTTTCCTACACTGATTAAATCATACTGTAAATTGTTTTGGTGATCTTATGATATTATTTTAAAGGAATTTGGAGATGGAGGAGCTTTTCCCGAGGTCCACGTGGCCCAGTATCCTCTGGAAATGGGTAGGAAGAAAAGGACGTCCAATGCTCTGGCAGTGCAGGTGGATGCAGAGGGCAAGATCAAATATGATGCCATTGCTAGGCAAGGTCAAAACAAAGACAAGGTGCCTCATCTTCTTGTGTTGTTGAATTGTTAATATATATTCAGTGAATCACACCTGGAGAGGACGTTTTCATTATTTTGTTTGCTTGTTTCAGGTCGTGTTCAGCAAATACACTGACATGCTTCCTAAGGAAGTACTTAACGAAGATCATCCTGAGCTGCAGAAACCAGATGAAGAGGCGGTGAAAGAGGTGAGATACAACACAGCCTCGTTTGACTGAGAACAGGTTTAAATGTAGATATTTACTACAGGCTGAAATAGGGCTGTCAAAATGGCTGAAAAACTACATTTGAATCTTTTACTTAAATATATTATCGAATTATATTTGAATTTAAAAGGCATCATTTCAGTTAGGGGGAAACGCTTTTGGTAGGGCTGCACGATTAATCGAATTTTTATCACGATCACGATTTTGGCTTCCCACGATCAAATTCGCGTGATCGAGCGATTTTTAAAATGCGTCATTCCGTTCACAGAACGCTCCGTATCAAAGGTTTTTTTTTGCAAAGCCAATCTAGCGCTCCATAAACCACTGTCTGATCACGTGCCTCCATGAGCCCCAGTGCACGAGAGAGACCGAGTGTGTCTGCGTGCGAGCGTCAGCGCGCGAGAGATACCGATTGTGTCTGCGCGCGAGAGAGACCGAGTGTGTCTGCGTGCGAGAGAGACCGAGTGAAAGTGCGCGTGGGAGACCGAGTGTGAGCATTAGTAAATTGCATTAGTAAATTGGTACATACTACATAGTAATATATAATTACTATATAAGAGGCATGAAAGTTTGATTAATGGACTCCAATAACCAGTACTACAAACGTCTTGTTTTGAACTATTGTTTAATAAATAGAAATAATTCGAGCACTTAAACTTTCATATGGAGGATTAAATAGATTAAATTTATGCAGTAAGACTTCACAACTAATCACTGACACTGAACCACAACATTTTACATTTCTTAAGCGTCAAATAACAATGACTCTGAATTTCATCCATTAATCGAACTTCCATAGTGCAGTTCTGCCTTGACATGTTCTCATTTGGTTACATTCTGTTGTGGAATATTTGTTTTTTATTGATTGTGTATTTTGCGCATTTTATTCACATCCATTATGCAGGTACAATGCAAGTTTATATTTTGCTTCCTAAAATATATTTACACAATGTAAAATAGTGCCCTGTTGAAGTTTTGCTACATTTTCTTTATTGTTTTCTTTATTTTTCTTTATTCTTTAAGGAGATGCACTGAATTTCGGTGAATAAGGACCGGTTTTATTTTGATGCACAATACAGTTGTACATTAGCAGGAATGTAGCACAATATGGATGTGAAAGCAGTTATAATTAGCCTATACGTGACAATAAAATTTGTTTTGGTTAAAATCAACAAATAATCGTGATAATTAATCGTGATCTCAATATTGATCAAAATAATCGTGATTATCATTTTGACCCAAATCGTGCAGCCCTAGCTTTTGGTTTGTTTCCTGTGTCCACAAAAGGACGCAATGAGAAAAATTGTAATGCACCAAATTTTATTTTTCAAAGCAATAAAATAGCATGACTGTCTGGGGAAAAAAAAGAAAGCATAACATTTATAAATCAAATATAATTTCAAAAACTGCATAAGAAATTATGACCAAAGCAGCATTATGTATTCATGCATAGTTACAATAGAAAGATTAGAAGAAAATGCGTTCTTGGTTGCGGTTTTGGCGTGCAGCAATTCTCTGCATTGAGCTGCTCTATTTCTGCATTGTTTAGAAGGACCATTTTTGCATTCGAATGTGGATTTTTATTTTAAATTCGACGAATATTCGAAATGGGGTTTTGACAATAACAGCATTTCAGTAGTTAATACCAATTCCAGTGGAATTTCATAATCGTTAATATCAGTTTCGCCTATCCCAGCGAAAAATGGAATTCTGATGATTGCTGTATGCATTCCTTCGTTTAAATTATTAACATCATATTTATTCTAATTAAGTTCTACATGTATTTTTTAAATAAGGTAAGCTTTGTATAAGTATTGAAGTAAACGGACGACAGAAGCAGGTTTATTAAGCTTCATTTACACAGAAATGTGTAATGCATAGATGCTGGTCCATAATCACTAACTTCGAGTGGGTTTTTGTTGGCTGGTGTTAAAATGACATGATCAATGTTGGTACTGTTGTTGTTTTTAATCAAACAATAATCCTCATGACTTTCAATAATGATGAAGCCAAGCCAGCATGCATTAACGTTCCAGTTTCCTCCTCCTGTAGATTACAGAAAAGACCCGAGCAGCTCTGGATAAACAGGTCTCGCAGAAAATTGCAGCGGCCATGCCTGTACGTGCTGCAGACAAACAGGCCCCAGCACAGTATATTCGGTAAGACCAGTTCCACTGACAAATGCTCCAAACCTAGAGTTTAAATAAATGTTCTGGGTTCGCTACAAGTTGAGCTATATCGACAGTAGGATGTTGATGACCAGAAAATGATTTAAACCTGTACCTTGGTTAAAATCAAGTAAAGCAAGCCAGTGTTGAAAGGTGTAATGTGCAGCTTGAATTTTTGTTCTAGCACAAGCATGAATTATTCAGTAAAAACCTATTTATTGTTTAAGCATTAAAGCTGTCTAAATCATCCGTTATGAGGTGGGAGTAGTTTCTGCTTCCATTTTAACTGCATTACTGTAACAATTTTTGCTTTAGTAATCTACGTTATGCCACAATTACTCTCGACAGAGTTTGTATTGAACCTGAAAAAATTCTTTAAAGGGATACTTCACCTCTGGAAAGATGAATGTGTATTTAAAATGGGTCATTTATGTAGAAGAAATGTGAAATCATTTTTGAATTTGGAGCTTTCTAGACTGAAAAGCCAGAAAATGTATTTTTGGCTTATGTGGATGAAAGACAACAACTCCCAGAATGCACTTGCTTCGCTGCCCTAAGAGGCCACGCCTATTGCTAACAGAGCGCAGTCGTTAAACAACAAGTCTAGGCTACTAGTGAGTCTCCGTGATGAGTCTGCCCGGGATTTCGAGATCGCCCAAAATGTCCGGGATTCGGCTTTTGCGTTCTACAGTCGCCGTTCATCATGTTTACTGTGGCGAGCAGGACGAGGCCGAGGGCGTGATTACCGATGAACGACACCTGTGAGACGCACCGGTCTCGTATCTCTCACGGAGGAGCGGGAATTTTCTTAGCAATGTTAAAACACACATCAACCGATCACTTGTTTAGCGTTCATGTAAACACTACATTTAGATTCACCAATCGGAATGAATTCAGTTAGATTGAAACAAAAGGTGTTCATTTAAACAATGAATGGCAACTGCAGAAAGCAGAAGCTGAATCCAGGACATTTTGTACGATCTCGACGGCCGGACATGTCCGGGAAAAAGAGGATGGTAACCCCTACTACTCAGCTTTCTCCACAGAACAAGAGCCTGCTAGCTTAGCTTCCAAAAAAGATGGCTGACACTATGTGTACATTCTGTGAGTGAGATCCCACCCTCTATGGGCGGGTTGAGAACATGCGGGACAGCCCCTACTACTGGCTGTAGTCTTTAGTCTCTGGCCAAAAAATACTCTGATGACGCAAAATGGCGATTTTTGCGTCATCGGAGGATTTTTTCTAGACAAAAAATATAGAAATCTCTCGTCTCAGGGGGATATGAGGGTGGAAAGCCCGGTAATTTGAAAATACTACAGGTTTTCTACTAATACAAAGCTTAATGCTAAATCCTGAAGTATCCCTTTAACGTCAGTCTTAGAGTTTCTGTGCAATTGTGTTTGCATTGCAAGAGGTTGACAGCAGTTTGAAATTGAGTTTGTGTTTGAGTTCACAAAAGTTCCATAAATTGTTCTTCTATTTCTTAAAGGTACACACCCTCCCAGCAAGGACTCGCGTTTAACTCTGGAGCGAAACAGAGGGTCATCCGTATGGTGGAAATGCAGAAAGATCCAATGGAACCACCGCGATTCAAGTATGTGACCTTAATCTGAGATTTAAGTAAAATTGTGTGGAAAACGCACAAGAAAGTCAATGTTTGTGTTTTCTTACAGAATCAATAAGAAAATTCCTCGTGGACCTCCATCCCCTCCTGCTCCAGTCATGCACTCTCCAAGCAGAAAGGTAGGAGTCTGGTTTCCGCCAACTATCGATCCCAATATTGATAGTCATCGGCTTTGTTTACACTCAGAAACCTATCTGGAGGAAACATTTCTGAGAACATCTCAACTAAACTCAAAGCATTTTTCCCCTCTCTCTTTTTTTGTAGATGACTGTGAAAGAACAGCAAGAGTGGAAGATTCCACCCTGTATTTCCAACTGGAAGAACGCAAAGGTAACGCTGAGCCTCCATCTATTATTCAGCTGTTTACTGTTGTTTTAAAATATTGATTATGGATACAACCGTGTTGCTTTCTCTCACCTCTCATTTTGCTTCTCAGGGTTACACCATTCCTCTGGACAAGCGTTTGGCTGCTGACGGACGAGGCCTGCAGACCGTCCACATCAATGAGAACTTTGCCAAGCTGGCTGAGGCTTTGTACATTGCAGACAGAAAGGTAGACTGCTTATTCCTGCATCTCTGAACACTCTGAATTCCCACATTGCTAAGTTTTTTTACTTTTAAGAAGTAAAGAAACCTTCAGCACTATATCAACATTACAGAGCAGTTTCTCAGACCAAAATGATGTGTGAAGCACTGTCTGGGAGTAACACTATCTCATGATGACATCTGTATAAAAAAAAAAACATGGCTCCTCTTAGGGCTGGGCGGTATGACGGTATATATCGTCACCGCGGTAGAAAATGTCAACCGTAACAGATTTTTTTATTCCGTGTATACCGCGACATACAAATAAGTGGGCGTGGTTAACATATGCGTGAGACTGAGACACAGAGATTTGTCAAAGAAACATGGAGAAAGCAGATCAAGAGGTTCCACAAAGGAATTACGCTTTCTAAAGGGTTGTTGTTAATGTGATATTTTCGGGGGGAAAGGCACAGCAGTCACTAGAGCAGTGCAGCACCCAGTAGGGGTGCGCCAAAATATCGATATGGCGATATATCACGATATTTACTCCCGCGAACGATTCTCGATGCGCTCTTGCCAAGTATCGATCTTAAAAGCCGTTATAAAACGCTCTATTCATTATCCGAGTTGACTGGATTTGACTAGCTTTCATGAGGCACACGCAAAGTCTCTCGCTCTCTCCCTCTCTGCCGTGCTATGTATGTTATGCGCGCAGTAGGCTGTTCTGTCTCGCATGCGCGCTCTAGATTCCGGGAGATTTGAACTAATTTGCGGGCATCAGGGAGACGCTATCATTATGCGGGAGACTCCCGGAACTTCCGTGAGACTTGGGATGTCTGGCTTTGCAAAAGTCCGCAAAACGGGAAACACGACCACATGTACAGACACCTCACGCGGCATCACCCGGAGCTCTGTGAGAAAGCCGTGGTTGGTGCTGGCTCGAAGCCGACACACCCCGGCGTAAACATTTTTATTACTACTGATTGCAGCAATGTTACACTAAAATAGTGTCTGTGATTGTTTTGTTGCAACTGATGAGACACAAGTTGTTTTTGTTATTGTGTTTCATCCCAAAAAATAAATGGAGATTAATTTTCCTAATTAAAAAAAAAAATTGTATTTCTTAAAATGATAGATTGTGAGTTATTACTGATAATATGTCGATTATCGCAGTATCGCCATATCGTGATATTATCGGTATCGTGAACAATGTATCGTATCGTATCGTGAAGTACCCAGCGATTCCCAGCCCTAGCACCCAGGCTAGAGGAGTGCACGCTCGCAACGGGGAAAACATGAAGCTTGACAATAGCAGGTCCTATATTAATATCGTAATGAATAGAAATAACCTTAAATAATGTATGGTTATCTGCATCTTTCCGTCTCAGTTACTTTTTAAACACGTAAATCACATTCAGCATGACACGCAAGCGGTTGCCGTGGTAATGAACATCGTGCGTGTTAAAGCGAACGTATAATCCTGTATCTGAGGCAAAAATTACTAAATATGTAGCGCGAGTTATATATTTCTAACTCCAAACAATTGGCCACTGAACCAGCTGATAAAATCTTCCTTTGATTCGATCCGTGATTACAACTTGACACTCAAATTAGCCGATCGCCGATCGTGTCAGTTGTTCACCGGGCTATGGTCAAATAATGACGCAGTTACAAGGTGTGTATAACTTGAACTATTTAGTCAACACAAACAGTAGCTGCTGCTCGGTTCATACTGCTCCTTCTAGTCACTTCTGAACTTGAACTTCTCTCGATTAAAGCTCCAGGTTCCCAGATATCACAAAAAGAGCAAAACAAGCCCCTTAAACGCAGTATAATAAGCAGACATGGCAAAAATGTACCGGGGAACACATTTAAACTAGTATATAACTATATAACTAGTATAACTAATATCCTACAAAATTAAAAGGAAGTAACTCATTTATTATGAATAGAATAGTTCAATATAAAATATTCCGATATTATAAACTGATTGATGAAGTAAAACGATAACATCAGATTGAAAAATTATTCAGCAACACTTTATTTAAAGTTTAATTGCACCGATAGGAGTTGTATTTAATATGAATCATTTGGGGGTAGTTCATCTAAAAGTTGATGAGTGTGTTTTGTTTACTATATTTAGCTATCAAAATAGTTTACCAAATAAATAATTTACCAAATAAAAGAAAAATCAAACAAGGTGAAGTACTTTTCATTTCTAAAGTATTTGGGTTTATTTATTATACAAAGTCCTTTTTGTAGATTTTTCGAGAATAACTACATATATAAATAACTATAGCGTGAAATATATCGTTACCGTGAAATGCAATTTTGGTCATACCGCCCACCCCTAGCTCCTCTGATCAATTTGGAGAGCATTTATAGATCTAGCTTTATTTTGGTTGGGAATGCTCGCTTTTTACAGTGCAAATAAATCCTTATAAAATGAAGTTCTTTCTAGGGCTGGTAAATATTTTGACTTATTTTTATGCTGATGTTGTTGGTTGTGTGATGTGTACAGGCCAGAGAGGCTGTGGAGATGAGAGCTCAAGTGGAAAAGAAGATGGCCCAGAAAGAAAAAGAAAAGAAAGAAGAGAAGCTGAGAGAGTTGGCTAAGATGGCCAGAGACAGGAGAGCTGGAATCAAAGCCCACGGTGACAAAGGTACAAAAAGGCGTTCACCATCATTGAACGTCGATGTATTACTCATACACAGCATATGTGGTATTTTCCTGAAACATTTGATATTTTACTAACTATCGCTGTTTGAAATCCTGCCTACACCTTTTATGTTTAAAGTTAATATTTATTTGAAATGTGTTTTCTAATTCATGAATTGAAAAGGGAGACGATTTGGTCTCGGCCCTGGTTTCGGTCATCAGAGTGCTGTCACCAGGGTCCAAAATTAACACCCGCTAAGCGCCAAATGCAGGTAGATTTTCCGTTTGGCGAGTAAATCTCAAAAGGCTATCCGCCACACTGGCGGGTGAATGTTCATACCAAAATAGTAATGTAATAAAATGTTTATTACAATTGCATTTTGTAATGTTAAAACAGGGGCATAGTTTATAAACTATCTGGCATGAGGGCTCGGATTTGTTGTGTTTGCCAGTAGGGATGGGAATTGAACTGCTGCGCGTGTGACAGGGCACAACTGAAGAACGAGCAGAGAGTCGCGCGCGCGCACTCTTTCTCTTCGGAGCCAGGCGAAAGTAAACAAGACTTCACCGTCTCCTAAGCGCTGTCTTGCCCTCTCTCTCCCTGGCACATATTAATCAAAATAAATCGACACGATGGTAAAAGGTCGGAAAACTTGTGGGATGTCCTAGCTGCCGGGATAATCACACAACGCAAACATCCGATAATGACACGTCCAATTCGCGAACTAATGACTCCTTTGAACCGATTCATTTTAATGAATGGTTAAAACAACTGATATTTCCAGTCCTTCAGTTACTGATCGGATCAGTCCAGAGTAAATGGAGGGAAAAAATATGCAGAGTAAAACTAAATTATTTTTTTTTAAATAATTGATATATTATTATTGCATATATTTTATTAAATATACAATTAATACATTTCATTTGTACATAACTATTTTCACAGGCACCACCACAAAAATATTATTTGAATGTGTGTAAATTGTGTAATATGTGTGTAAATAAAAGTAAAAATGGAAAATAATAGACCAGAAATATAAATGACAAAAATGTTTAAATTAGTGCTGGGCAAGTTAACGCGTTATCGCGTTAACGCATTTATTAATTAATGCCGACAATTTTTTTATCGCGCGTTAACGCAGTTTTTTTTTATTATTATTTTGAAAGTCCGTTGCTCACTGGCTCTGAATACACATAGGCCTACAGTCAAACCATGATCACAGGAGGGGTGGGATGTTGGTCAGCCAGCAAATAACCCACCCAAACAAGCAGTGGAGAGGCTTTGGCAGGTTCTCTCAGGTGAACAGAAAGGGAGACAGCGCTCCGCGAGTGAATGACAGGCGCTCTATGGATAGTAACCATGGCAACGGCTTCTGTGCGCAACGCAGCTGTAGCCTTTTTAACTTACATAAAAATTATACATAACTTTACCTGATAGGCCTGCGTTTAGTTTAGCGGGGATGCTCTGCCATGTGAATTCCCTCCTATTGATGTCCTGATATCTATTTAGATTCTGGAAACTCACAAACAGCGAGCCGAGGATCAGTCTCTCTTCCAACGATTTGTGCTGCGCGTCGTGTACAAAAAGTTAGATAATTCCACTTCGGCAACGCGCGGGCGCGTGCGTGAGGCGAGCATGACCGCAACAGTTTCACAGGAACGCACCCGCCTGTCGCTGCACCTGTGCTCGACCACTTCACCTCACTCTAGGCTGATTTATACTTCTGCGTCGGACCTACGCCGGAGCCTCTACGCTATAGACAACGCGTTGGTTTTCATGTATACTTCTGCGTCGTTGACGCGCAATTACACATGCAGAGGGAGAGTGTGAAACCCGGGGAGCGGTTCTAGCAATCACAGCGCTTGCGGTACGCGTAGAATTGACGTTACATTTTTGGAGAGATGCACGTCAGGGTACGCGCGCTACACAGCTACGGCGTGAGTTCGACGCAGAAGTATAAATTGGGCTTATTACCTCTGTTTAATGTAATCTTACATGGGAAACCATGGCATGCCATGACCAAACCTAAGCTGCTATCAGAGAAGTAACGTTGGTCGACTTATATCTGTAGTGATCATGACCCTTTGACTACATAGACTGTTTCTGCTGCTCCCTGATACAAGATACCTGTTCAGAAAAAAAGAAAACTGGACTCTTTTAACAAGCTAGATAAAAGGTAATGCCCTGGCAGTGGCAAATAGCTTTGTTTAAATATTTGATTTGATTACATTAATGTTTAAGTTGAGATTTACCAGAAATATTTTATTGTTATACTACAGGGCTGTTGAATGCTTGATTCTGATTGGTTGAGAACGTTCTAAGGTGTGCAATTATTTAATTATTAAAGCCGGGACACAATGACTAAGGCCAGTTATGAATGTAATTTGATACTTATTACTGATCATGCCCAAACGCGTGTTCAGCGCGTTCAGTCTATTCACAGTCTGTGTTTAAGACCTGCTACAGTCGATGAAAACATTCAGTCTTCGGATGTTTCAGCAAGTCGTAAGTGTGTCCCCATCATTAGTCTGCTATCAGTGGCTCAAACCTCCGTTACTAACTCTAAAATGACGTTTTGGAATTAGCAACGGAGGCATGGGTGTAGATGCGTAAGAAATTAGTCCTACATACAAGAGCGTTTTAATGACAAAAACTTGACAAACGTCTTGAAATGCATCATCTGAACAATGTTTTGAGGTGTGGTAACTGTAGTATAAGCGGAATAATTGACTTCAGGCCGTTGAATTATTAGAAAAATAATGCACACCGAGGTGTAACGGCCACTGTGTAAACATACTGTGTAAAGGGAATACTGCTGGTATAAAAGCACCTTATTTGTTTAAAGTTTTTGCCAACCACATGTTATTGCACTTTTGTAGCAGTACATTTAAATCAAAAGTGCGCAATACACTACTTTAGAATTCATTATTCAATTTTGTGCGTAACAATGCGATTAATCGCGATTAATTGCAAGAAAATCATGCGATTAATCGCGATTAAATTTTTTAATCGTTGCCCAGCACTAGTTTAAATATACCTATATATAAATTAGGGCTGCAACTAACGATTATTTTGATAATCGATTAATCGGACGATTATTTTTCTATTAATCGGATAAAAAAATCAATTAGATTTTTTGTTTATTATGACTAAATAAAACCCTGTTACACTTTATTTTAAGGTGTCCTTGTTACAGTGTAATTATATATTTAAGTACAGAGTAATATTAAGTAACTACATGTACTTACTATAGGAATAGGGTAGGATTAGGTTGAGGGTTAGTTGCATGTAATTATGCATAATTTACTGTTATTACTACAGTAAGTACATGTAACATATGTAACAAGGACACCGTAAAATAAAGTGTTACCTAAAACCCTAAATTAGGATATTTATGTGTAAAAGTGTACTTTAAAAAGTGCAAAAGCCACACATTGAGTTTTACAAATATCAATATTTGCATTGTTTTTAATGATAATTGCTGATGGCAAGTTGACGACCATGATTAATGTAAAAAAAAAAAAAAAAATTATATCCAACATATTGTTTTAACACAATTTTTGTTAAAACAAATTTACAGACATGTTGTTCAGATGTGAAGATATAAACTAAAAACATCTCAAATATATAATTCATTTAATTTTTATTTAAAATTAATTGAATTATAAGGATAATTTGTAAAAATAAATATAGAAAGACTGAAAACAAGCGTGTGAACATAGAGCCGCAGTAGATCGCGTTTGAAAAACAATTAAAACTTAATAGTAGACAGAGGTGGAAAGAGTGCTAAAATTTTCTACTCAAGTAAAAGTACTATTACTTTAATAAAATTTTACTTAATTACAAGTAAAAGTACCGGTCTAAAAATCTACTCAAGTAAAAGTAAAAAGTAGCTCATTTAAAATTTACTCAGAGTAAAAGTTGCTGAGTAACTTGTTTCACAGCGGGGGCGGGGTGGGGGACTCTCCCGTGCAGAGCTGTAACCGATGAGTTTCACAGTATGATAACCGTCTCAGAAAATATCACGGTTTATATAAACTGTATTATTAAATTATGGTTAAAATTAAAATTATGTCAGTTAAAATGACAAATGAAATAAATGAAACATTTGTTCAATAAAACATATCTAATCTACTAATTTCAATAATTGATTATGAATTAGATTAACAACTTATTTTTATCATTAATAACTAATTCAAATTTTTAAAAATAGAGTTCTATGAAATGTTTCTTATTCAGAATTTTTTTTTCTTTTTATGATTTAATACAAATATATTATCAAAAACGGTGGTAATCAAATAAAAGTTTAGCAAACGTTTTATCCTTTTAGTTTATGGCAAAGTGCTGCAAAACAGATTTACTCAAACCATGGACAAATAATATATATTCCTTAAATAATGTTTAAATACATTGTAGTATTATTATTGTTGTTGTTAATATTATTATGAGAAGTACATTCTATTGTGTAGGCCTAAAATCGTAGTCATAATTTCTAGTAAAACCGAACTTTTATTTTGACGGGTTGTTAAGTCCTGTTTCAGAGTGTATTTGACAATGGTTTTTCTCAAATAAAATTAGGAAAATGCTCATTAGGCGTTCTCTCAGAGCAGCTCTGGAAATGTTCATGTATTCATGTAGGCCTACTCGTATTGTTTGTGAGACGCTGAAAACACCATGAGCGCGTCGCGTACTTGAGTATGTAGACGAAACAGCACAGCTCATTCACACAGAGACACGCAGAACAAGCAGATTATATATTTACATAGCAGTCTTTTGTGCTTTAATATTCACAGATCATGGCGTGATTTGATTTATTGTACAGCTTTACTTTCGATTTATTCATCCATTATCTGCATGTTTTACGTGACATCTGTGTTATACTGTAAATTCCATTTTCTTTCTATATCCAAAAGTATTCCCTGACCAGGGCTTCACATACCGGTTATGTGTGCGAGTGAGATTTCGACAGCATTTCGCGTTCAGCTGGGTCTGCATCACTGTCTGTCTTGTCCGTCACCTTCTCCATATTGTTTTGTGATTTTAGCGCGTCTGTTCTCCCGCCCTTCAATCAATCAATGCTGTAGTTTCCGGAGCGCGATGTTTTCACCCAAAGCATTTTTTTTTACTCAGTAACGGATATGTTTTAAAATGTAGCGAATTACAATACTGCAAACAAAACATACTTAAGTAAAAGTAAAATTACAGATTTTAAAAACTACTTAAAGTAGAAGTACACAAAAAAACTACTCAATTACAGTAACGCGAGTAAATGTAATTCGTTACTTTCCACCTCTGATAGTAGACAAATGCTATATAAAGAGAACGTAATGGAGGTACGCAGCAAGCTAACAGGCTTGATTAAAAAGACAGGAAAAATGATGCATTAGTGCACAAACATTCGCTGAAAACCACTGAGTACAGTGACTAAAAAACAATCTTTTACTGCTGCTGTTATTAACTGCCTTTATATTTAGTGCTTCGCTTTGTAAAGACCGTTTTAATTTAATATTTCTGCGGTAGCGCTATTTTAATCCATCACTTATGTTGCGAGCGAACTGATTGCGCAACCTGATGCTCGAGACGCAAAATACAGACATCCCAAGTCTCCCGGAAGTTCTGGAAGTCACCCGCATATTGATAGCGGTTCGCAAATTAGTTCAAACTCCCGGGATTTCAGCGCGCATGCGAGACAGAAGAGACTGTGCTCCAAACCGTGTAGCGCGAGCGCGCGGCAGAGCAACGGAGGGAGAGAGACCTTGCGTGTGTGCCTCATGAAGCGCGTGTAAGACAGAGCATCCTGATTGGCCTGTTTCAGACAATCACCAGTAAACGCTCCCCGTGACGTAAGCAGACCAACTAATCGATAATGACATTCGTTGACAACGATTTTCATAATCGATTATTATCGATTTTATCGATTAGTTGTTGCAGCCCTAATATAAATTAATGTATATGTGACACAAAAAGGCTGTTTATTATTTTGGCCGGTAAAAAATATGCTTGGCTGGTGGATTTTTTTTCATGGTTTCATGGTTTTTCATTTTTTGGCAGGTGAGCCAAAAAGTTAATTTCGGACCCTGGCTGTCACTATTGGTGAGATCACCATCGATGTCTTTGATTTTCTCTCAGGTGGTGAAGAGACAGAAGTCAGGGAGCGTGAAGAGATCCGTCACGAGAGGAGGAAAGAAAGGCAGCACGACAGGAACATCTCCAGAGCCGCCCCTGATAAGAGGTACATGCATTTTTTACACACTTGCCCTGAATCATTCATGGGCCGGTAGAACTGGTGCGCACATCCCATTTTAATGTACGTGGTTTTGCGTTATTTTCTGTGCTCTGATCTCACACAAGTCCCACCGGTGTTCGTTTTTACATCAGGCACCTTTTAGTGAAACAAACTTGACACATCCCGTATTCAGACCCATTTTGTCATGCTTGTTAAAATGCATTTAATCTGTGGTTGTAATAGCTTGAATTATTCATGCTTTTTCCTCAAAAGATGTTCGTGTGCGAATTCCCTGAACTCCCAGTTTGAGACGCGTGTAATGTAGCGTGATGGCTCTTTGTGTGAGGTGTTAATGTGGGTTTAGCTGATGTCAGTGTAATTTTGGTCTGTCCAGGTCGAAGCTACAAAGAGATCAGGACAGGGACATCAGTGAGCTCATTGCCCTGGGACAACCGAACCCCCGTACCTCCAGTGAGGCTCAGTATGACCAGAGACTCTTCAATCAGAGCAAGGTAATCAACCCTCAGGCTTTGCTGATCTCAAATTGGTCACCTTACTGATTTTAGTTCAGTGTAATGTTAAAGTGCGCAATTAAACATAATTTAAGACAAAGATAATCCTTTACCTCCTTTTTCTGCCTATAAATATTATAAATCCTAATAAGAAACGACTGAAGACTCAGTCTTTTGTCAACACCTGACCCATTAATACTAACACTTAGTATTCTATATATCTCTTTAAAAAAGAAAACCTTTCCAGTGTTTCCCCTACGATTCTGTTTCGGGGGGGGGGGGGGGGGGGGGGGGATACATGGTGTAATTTTTTTTTTTTTATTAATTGAAATCATGTATTATGAATCATTAAACTTATACAACATTTTTTTTTTTTTTTATATATATATATGGAAAAATAAATTCACTCTAATTCTGTGTTGTGTTTTTTCTGGTAATAAAATGAAGACATAAAACACAAATTTTATCATAAATTTTAATCATATGAAATTAAATAAACTTTTTGTCAAAGAACTTGCTGCACAATGAGCTGTAGCCTACTACTGTTAAAATTAAAACATGGATTATTCCAGACTGATCTCATGAAATGGCGTATGTATGACACGCCAAATCGTATTTCCATTTTTGGCGTGCTATCAACACGTATAATCACTTTTCAGCGTGTTTATCAACGCCGTTGACTTAACGTTACATTACTGTATATATAAATATATGACCTACCCCAACCCCGTCCCTAAACCTACCCGTCACTGGGGTTAATACCATTTATGAGTCTTCCCCTACCATCCTAGGAAAAAAATATTGCTCCACAGATGTAAATATACATTTTTCTTCGTTTCCCTCGTACATTTAACGGCGTACACATACACGCGGAATCACTCGGACATTTAACGGCGTAGACATACACGCAAAAGATGACGGTTCGTTTCGGTGTGGACATACACGCGGATAGCTCAAAATGCGTATAGATAACACGCCACTTGACTTGAAAGTGGCGTGTATGTTTACGCAAAGTCATGATGTCATGTTGATTATTCCTTAATGGCAGTTTTGATGATAATTTATTTGGATTAGTGTTAGTGTATTATTACATTGGGACATATCTAAATTCTAATGTACAACAGTAATATATAATTTCTGTCAAGTTAAACCAAACTTTTATTTTGACGGGTTGCCGTGAAGACCTTTTGAGTTTCTGTGTGTTTGTCATGATGATAGTTTTTCTCAAATGAAGCGGTGAAATCTGAAATGATCACGAAGTGACTTTCAGAGTGGATCTAGAGCCTGGAGAGGAAGTTCATGCATTTGTGTCTTCATATAGGCCAAAAAACAGCACAAGCGTCACACGTGCTTCAGTGTGTGTGTGTGGTAAATGAAACTGCGCGGCGGCGGCACCATTCATTCACACAGAACATGCAGGATTCATATTTAAATAGTCTTTGTGTTTTAATATTCACACACACTTGTCTACATCGCGATTTGATTTCAAGTGTACTGAACTGCTTTCTATTTTTTCCTCAAATTTACAAATTCCGTGAAATTCCGCGTTATACACTAAATTCCTTTTTTATGACTGGATTTCGTCAGCATTTTAGGGGGGGCGGGGGGTCGTTTTGGGGGGGCGGGCCGCCCCCGCCAAAACAATGGTAGGGGAAACACTGCTTTCTACATGTGCTGTGCTAGACTAACTGGGACTGGTCACAGCACTTGCGTATTGTTGGTTTGATTGCTTCTATTATTCTTTATTTTTATTATTCTCATTTGTAAGTGGTTTTGGATAAGTGTCTGCTAAATTAAATGTAAATGTAATATCAAAGCCTGTTTTGCATTATCCAATCTAATATTGGATACAGTCAAGTCCTGCTCTACATCGTTCCGCACAAGTATTATTTTTTGGTTTCGCACAGAAATACAGCTTCATGCAAACGGATGCTCTCAATGGTCAAAAAGGGGAATTGAAATCAAATCGTGGTCATTGGTAATCAAATCGTGATTTTTTTTTCAGAACGTGGGAAATTATTGTCAATCTCTAGTGCATATATAAATTTTTTTGTTTAATATATTTTAACTATAAAATGTTTTTAAAAAATCAATACAAATGACTGTAAGATGCACTTTTCATAGCTGTGAGGTATAAATCTCACTGTTTGTTTGTGTTTTTCAGGGGATGGACAGTGGTTTCGCCGGTGGAGAGGATGAGATGTATAATGTGTATGATCAGCCCTTCAGAAGTGGCCGAGACATGGCACAGAATATCTACAGGCCCGGGAAGAACGCGGATAAGGACGTGTATGGAGACGACCTGGACACACTCATGCAGAGCAGCAGGTATGGAGACACCTGGACTCAATATTTGCATGCATTTTAACTACACACATCAAACACATTAAATTAAAATACAAAGGTTATCATTACAACCATATAATCAACTTGCTTTAGGCCCTACTGAATATGGTTAGAATCACAACAGATGCGCATTGGGTCTCTTTGACACGTTTGTTTATTGTATTATAGCCTCCTTGTTCATGCACTTGAACGATTCCCCTTCTCTCTCCAGGTTTGTTCCTGATCGGGAGTTCTCAGGTGCGGACCACGGCCCCCGGCGCGACGGCCCGGTGCAGTTCGAGGAGGATCCTTTCGGTCTGGATAAGTTCTTGGAGGAAGCCAAGCAGCACGGAGGCTCCAAGAGGGCGTCCACTAGTGGCCGCTCAAAGGACTACGACCACGAGAAGAAACGCAGGAAGGAGTGAGACACTTCCACTGTCCGCAGATGCAGGGTCAAATCCTCCTCCCCCTATTTTTATAGCTGTAAAGTGAATGATGAACTATTAGTAATATGGTGTTTCATCTTTTTTTTTTTTTTTTTATCATCCTCTTAAATCTAGATGTTTTCTCCAGTCATGTTTCTTGAGCTCAAAAGTGTGAACTTCAAACTGTTGTACTGCAAAGCCATTCTAATAAATGTCTTGTAGAGGATTTCATTGAATGTGAAAGATTATTTGTCTAAAGTAATTTCTAACTACTTGGGTGCCAGATGAAATGAATTTTTAATGACTCTCTCCATTAGTCTTATAAATCCAGTGCATCTGCTGGAACAGACATGAGCTCTCCTTGAGTTTAAGGGAGAAGATTAGTATTGTTTAGTTAGTTTGGGAGCTTTATAAAGAATGCATAGCTTACATTTCATGCAGAAATAATCTGTAAATTGGTCCTCTATTAATAATGGGTTGAATAATTCTTTAAATAATGGCATTTTCCCTAGGATTGTTTTAAATGGAGAAAATGCTAAATGTTTTAAAGGTAAATGCTTAATGTTTCTTATTAATTTCAATGATCTTCCTGATTTTAAGCAAAGCGTGTAAATGTGTCAGACTTGGACTTGATATTTAAAAATAATGTCAGTATCCGTAGCATTTTTACAGCTAATATTCATTGTCCCATTCTGTTACTTACCATCGTGATGGAAATGCATAACATTTAGGAAACAAGAGCAGATGGCCGAGTAATAAATGGCATGATGCTATAATTTTTAATAGGTTTACATCATAATCTTAGAGTAGCTTCATGTGATAGGTTAATCAACTCTTATAGCTAGAAATACTTCCCTTTTCTCCAAAAATGTCTAAATGTCATTGTATTTCATATCAAAACTCACATGATGATGGATGAATATTTTTTTAATTGTAAGATGTATTCAGTTATACATAATACTAAAGGAATGAAATAATTTCAGGATTAAAAGGGATTTTAGGGAATAAGTGGTAAAAGATGTTCTATGTATAATTGTAGTTATGAAGTAATCAATTTAAACTATTTGCAAGTAATATTTTATTTTAAAATGTGCACATGTTGACACTTATTCATTTTAATGTCTGATATGTTGAAAAACGCAAATGTTTCTTGTCTCGTCACAATCATTTATGAATTACATGAATCATGATCACATATTTTCAATTCAAAATTGTGAAATTTCACAGTTTTATTTATTCTACACTAAAATGACAAGATAAGACAAATAAAATTAGATTTTTTTTTTTTTTTTAAAGAAAATCTTAAATATTTTTATTCATAGCTCAGACTCCGAAGTGTTTTAACAGAGGTTGAAGTAGTAAAAGATCACATCTGAAACTGCATTATTTTGATACCGCATGATTTCCTCATAGGCTGTCATTATCTGCCATAAAGGTGATCAAATCAGGGTTGAAGAACTGATAAAACTAAAAAAAAAAATCATCATTTCTCTGGCCGTATTGCTGTCCAATGAATAGTTTCTAATGTGATTTAGGTTTCCTAATTGAAACATTCAACGCTTGAGTAATTTGGAGTTGTGTGATGTATTTTGTTCCTACGTTTTATTTATTTCTTGAAAAATGCACCCAATTTGCATAATGATTAAATGTCCTCAATAATTTAAAGGGCCAATAAATAACAACAAAATCTCTGCTCCAAAAACAGTTTAGGGATTTATGTGCTACTCAAAGCAACGTTAGTCCCATTCATCATCTTTGATTACTATTAATGGATCACTGGAAACTTGGCATTCACCAGATCCACAGTTTAGCTAATTTACAGTCCATTTGCATATCATTTTGAATGTCTATGGAAGTTGGGGTGCAGTGATCAGGCCTAAAAAGAACACTTAAGCATGTGATGTATAAAGCATTATCAGTTATTGAGAGCTCAGTTTAACCCGTTCTCGCATAAAATATTTTACTCTTTTTCCTTTAATTCTTTATGTTGCTCATTAGGATCCAGTGAAAAACAGATGCATGCTTTATGCATCAGTGTAGTATACATCTTTTTTAATATCCTTTCTCATTTTGTTTCTCATTTCGATTCCAGCATTGTCCCAAGTGTTCAGGTGTATTTAATTCTTCAGGACAGGCATGATAATGAGTCCTCTCTTTTCTGTTGTTTGTATTTCTAAATGCATGGAGCAAGAAAAAAATGAGTTTCTCATTGATGACAGCCTAAGGAAATTGGTTCTTTAGCGAGCTTTTGTGTGGTTTGAAGAACTAACAAACCAGCACATTGTTTTGTGTCATAATGGAAACTTTGGCAAGCGGACAAAAGCTAAGATTGATAGGTTCTTATCAGCTGTCCACGGAGAAACAGCCAGCGATATTCCAAGCTGGTTGTTTCAGTCGATTGGGGGGAAAAAGCTTTTTGTTCTTTTGGAACAGAGACAAAAAGAGCTTTTAAATAGCGTTCATCTCCAGAGCGCTTCAGAAAAGAATGGTGATATTGGTTTATTGGTGATTCTCTATGTGCACTTTTGGCCCCGTAGAAAAACATCCAACTCCGTCCCAATAATTGAACCGTTAAATTTGAGAAATAATTGTACTGTAAAGCTGCTTTGAAACAACGTCCATCGTGAAAAGCGCTATATAAATAGAATTGACTTGAGCCCTTATAAATCTCCACTCATTTTGTGGAAATACCTGTGGTGTAAATATTATTTGAGACAAAATCTCATTTTAAAACCTAGTATTTTATACAATTAAATGCTAATCGCACACTTTTTGCATAATTTGACAACTTTACAGCTTGCTTTGAAATAACAATAAAAATATTCTGGGGGCTGTGGTGGAAATTACGTCACAACTCATGGACTTTGATGTAAAGATTGATATATAATTTTCACAATAAATATTAAATAATAAGAACATATTTTATATAGGCTAATAAGAACATATGTTTTACGTTATTACAATGTAGCCTAATAATAATCATTTGTACATTGTAACAATTACTATTTTATGATTTTAGCACAAAGGTAAAACAAATACATAAAAATACATCTGAAAAATAGCAAAAATAAATGATGAAGGCATGGCTAAAGTTTTAATTACCATTACATAAAGAAAATAAAATCTGTTTAATCACCTGGTTGGAACATAAAAGTGCTCAAAGTAGACGCAACACCCTGTATGCGAGCATTGTTTGTGATTACATAGAATAAACAGCATAAATCTGCAAAAATGACATATTGATGGCTATATCAGCAAATGTTACATTGTCCTTCATCCTGAATTTGTCGCAATATTGCAATATTGTGACAAATTCAGGATGAAGGACAGTATAACATTTGTCACAATATTGTTATAGTGGTTTTATTCAGTACCCTATCTCTCTCTCTCTATCTCTCTCTCTCTATCTCTCTCTCTCTCTGTCTCTCTCTCTCTCTCTCTCTCTCAGGTAAAAACAAAACAAAACATGGACACTTGTAGAAATGAATGTACCACAAAGAATTATTGCAGTATATTTTATTTCAATCTCAGCTGTAAATCGGAGCCTGTTCTCGTTTTGTCTTGCAAAAACACTGGGAAAGATGGAACCATTAATCTTTGCATTGATAAAGAAGGGAATCCAGTCTGCAAATGGACTGATATGAACAAGATCAGTTGGCAGACCTGCTTTTATTGTTCGCTTATTGCATCATTTGTCATGCTGTAGTCTATCTGTGTGTGGGGTTTTCAGCCATGATGAATGTAATGCTGTATGAAAACATGCTTTCACAGAAATTGATGTACACAGAGGCAGAGCTCTTTCCTCGAGATTAGGATGTGGGTTGCCCAAATATATTCACATTAGGAACTCTTGCAAAAACAAGGAAACAATTACATATGCGACTTATTTAAAACCTCCTAAGGGTGCTCCGATCGTTATCAGCCGATAATAGCTTTATGTTTGATTTGTGGTCTTAATAAATGCCGATCAGAAGAGCCGATCACATGACGCGCCGATCACATGACAAAACTTGCAAGGCAGTTTTTCTATGCACAGCTACTTCATTACATTCACCAGTCTGGCAGTATACCAGGTGTCCGAAAAGGACAATATTTGCAACTTATTTTCTCAAGTGAGCATAAACAGTTGGGAAATAGTTGCATGTGTATCAGTATATTAGATCCATGCAATCTGTCTTAAAGTGGCAGCGGCCTAATATTCCTGCTGCCGTCTGCCATTAATGTTAATCAAACAAGTAAAAGACAAATAGAAAATCACTCATTACTCTATAGTAATCTGATTTATACATGTAGTGTTGTTTTACATTTGATTACTTTCTATTGATAAAGACTTCTGTTTTTTTTTTTTTTTTTTATATATCACAGGAATGCTATATTTTTTCCTCTAAGAGAGGAAATGGCATATGTTGCACATGTTGCTTGTCAATAGATGAAGAGTTGTCAATTCATGATACTTTCTCATTGCTTAATTTGTTTAATACATTGTTGTTTCGTATAGTATTATTTATTTTGGTGATCGTATCGTCGCAATGCTGCTTCAAGTGATCGTAATCAGCCCCAAAAATCCTGATTGGACCACCCTCACTCCTAACTCAACACACAATATTTAGCCTATATTTGTCGGCGTTTTTTTGCAAATTGATGATATGGATAGAAGATAAATACTAGTATATTAATTTATCAAATTCAATTTTCTCATGCACATTTAAAAAAATTTACAAGGGGAATCGTGTAGATTAAAAACACTAGCGGGCTTAAAATTGATCCCTGGGGAACACCGTAATTTAGAGGTCGATTTGAGGATTTGTGCCTTTGAAAATAAACAAACCGTTTATCTGTCTGTCATTCAGATCAAATGAGAGTTCATGAGAAGACATTATGGGGTCATGAATGTTTAAAAAAAGGAAATGCTATACAAGTACAAACTATACAAAGGACTAAATGCAGATTCAAGGCTAATCTGTACTTGACAGTATAGCTGTAGCTAAGGGGCAATGCTATTTATTAGAGTATAGGAGATAGATTTTTATATATATGGATAGGGTTTTTTGATGATTTTTGGGGGGGAAGTAGTAGTTCTGTCAGAACAAAGGTAAAGATATCTGTTAATCA